TATCTGAGGTAAAGGAGGTCATAAAGTTTCAGCGTAATTCCTGCAAAATTGGTAGGGCGGTAGTGCCGCTCATTATGGCCGGCAGTGCCGCTCTCTAAAAACTAGGCTGTTTTCTACCAATTTTGGCTGGGTTGCGGGGCCCATTTTCTTGTATCTATTTCAGTCTCTGGCTCTCGACCCAACTCTTTCCTGCTCTCCCAGCCGACACCGACGCCCGTGCTCCTCTCTTCTTCTCTCTCAAGCACGCTTTGTCGCCGTTCCTTATGGTCTGCCACCCCAGCAGTGCCGCCCCTGCAGCCGACCAAGTCTTCTCGTCGCTGGCCCCATGCAGGAAGCTCCTAGCCGAGCCATTTCTCCTCTTCTCCCTCCACTCCATCGTTTTGGAAGCAAGGTGAAACCCTAACTCCATTCGATCTATGCAATGTGAAAGTTTTAGTCATGGATTTCTGTTTCTAGGGGGAGTATGAAGGGTTTGGAAAGGATTTTGATGATTTTCTTTTATCAAAATTATTTCCAAAGTTTTTCATACTCAATCTTTCAAATCCATGGCTAGGGTTTCATATATTTTTCGTTTAGACTGTGATTATGAAATTGTGATGATAGATAGACACTGTTGGAAGTAGGATTTAACCAGAACGAGAAAGTTTAAAATGAACTAGTGAAGCAACTGAGGGCGGCAGTGTCGGCCTCATGGGGCGGCAGTGCCGTCCTACCATGCTGATTCCAAATCCAGCAAAGCTTCCCGTGTCATTTTCAAAATTCTTTTTCTTATTAAAACCTGCTTGCAACTGTTTCTAACTCATTATCTTATACAGTTTCTTATCAAGTCTCATTTAATTGCATAGATGGACCAAGGAAAAAAGAAGGTGATGTCAACTAAGCAAAAGGTCAAGAGAGGCAGGGGACAGGCAAGCTATATTCCCAGTGACAGAAATCTTGATGAAGACCTTGCTGAAGAAGAAAGAAATCAGAGGACGGGAATGACCATTCGTGGGTGGCCTGATTTTGCTCTACACATTTCAGAGTTTGATAGCAGCTACATGAGAGAAAACACTGATGGGTTCAACCTCAATCCTCCCCAAAACAGTGACAATCATAAGGTTATTGATTATTCAATGAGTTGGAAGAAGACAGGTGAAGCTAGAGAGATTGATCCTTACTCCTCTGATAAGTCCAGTGGCATTGATTATAGATTTTGGAATGCTTTCCAATCTGATTTTTATGCCACAGCCATCCTATCCAAGTTAAAGGGCAAGATTAGCAAGATGCAGTACATTGACTTTGGTGACTTGGAGAGCAGGGATGGTCATGAGTTTGCTGCAGCCATCAAGACCTGTGACCGCTTTGAGATGACAGATATTATGAGTTTCAGGCATGATTGGAACAAGGAGATTCTTGCACAGTTCCATGCCACTTACTATTGGAACAGGGAAGTGGATGAGCTTCATTGGATGACTGATGGACGACATTATCGCATTAATTTTGTCACCTTCTGCCGTATTCTTGGTTTTGGACACATCCACATGGGATATGAGAGAATTCATAATGAACATCATCTTGAGTCAATGGAAGTAAGCTTCATGTGGGAAAATCAAAATCTTGCAGTTCCTGATTGGTCAAGGACCAAGCTCAAGAGCTTCTATTACATCATGAACAATATTTTTAGGATCACTCTTAACCCCAAAGACAATGCAACAGATTTAAATGGCTATATCACTAATGTATTGTCTAGGTTTCCCAGTAGTGAGAAGTTTAATGTTCCAAGGTTCATTTGGGTTGAGCTAGCATATGCCATGGATGATGGGAGGAGATCTTTGCCCTATGCTCCTTACCTCATGTTTATGATTGAGAGAGTGACTGGCATGTGGTTCCCTAAGGATTGTGAGCACACTGTTTACAAGATCAAAAAGACCCATGGGGGCTTAGGGGGACTTAGGTCAGCTACTCAGCGCACTTGTTCTGGAGGACATGGAGATAGTGGGGCAGCATGCTTTCACTCTTCTGGAGATGAACATAGAGATATTCCTGAGCCATACAGGGCTAGGGAACAAAAGAAGAAGTCAAAGTGGGGAAAGATGAGTGCATGGATGAAGACAATCTTTACTCATTGTGCATATGCTTCACAGACTGCTTATGAGGATAGAATGGAAAACAGGGAAGCAGTGAGGCAAGCTAGGGAGATGGCAGGGCTACCACCACTTCCACCAGTGCAGTCATCACCTTAGTTTCCTAACTTGCCTCGCCTTTCTTCTTCTGGTGAGGAGTAGGATCAGCCACATGAGCATCATTATGAACAGCTAGATGATCAGCAGTTTGGGCACTCATATGAGCCATTTAGTCAGTACTACGGGTACCCACAGGGGCAGCATTTTGAGCAGCCCCCAAGGCAGCAGGACCTTGGTGCAGAGATTCACCCTACAGAGGCTGATCCATAGGTTCAGACAGCTTTGTTTCGCACATATTCCAGGAGACCGCGACCTTCGACGGATCAGCCAGGTCCTTCTACTGCAGCCGAGGCAGCTTCTCCGCGATGTTCAGCATGCTTCACTTCACACACCCATGTCGCAGGACGTGCCCGCGTCGACTCCGACAGTGACGAGTGACTTTTCTTCTTTTTCTTTTCTTTTTGGTACTTGATGCCAAAGGGGGAGAAAATTAGAGGGGTCAACAGATTTTCGACGCCATGAGTTCTTTGCTGCTGCGCTTCATGTCTAGATTCTATGAGAGTAGTTGTTAGGTTGTGAGTTTGAGAGTCGTTCAAAACTCTATTTTATGAAATAAGCTACTTTGTGACTTAATTTGCTTCGGATATGTACATGTATTCATGGTTATTGTTTTTAGCTTGTCATATTCTGAGTTTAGATTATTTTGTATTCATATGATCTGCTGTAGGAACCTGATTGCTACCAGACCAATATAGTCAGGACGGCAGTGCCACCCTCTGTGGCCGGTGGTGCCGCCCTGTGCTGTATTAGCCAGGGTCTTGTGTGCTTAAACTGATATAACCTGTCATATGCATCATGTTTATTCATGTGACACTTTGTTCAGCACCCCACAGCAGACATGGATGTAGGGGGAGATTCCCATCACACCTAAAATGTGAATCATGGCCTTTTATGCCAAATTGAGAATTCAAATATCTATTCATATATTTAGGGGGAGGCTCCTACACCCATGGTTCAAAAATATCAGTTTAGATTTCATATCATTTGTAAGCTCTAATTGGGTTGTCATCAATCACCAAAAATAGAGAGATTGTAAGTGCAATCAAGCCATATTGTGGGTTTTGGCATTGATGACCACCAAATTAGAGGACTAATGAGATTTATCGAGATGACAAGCAGGGAATCGAAAAATAAGGATGATGTACAGGTTGCAGGTGTCCTAATTACAAAAGGTGGTCAGACCTAGCTCAAAGGAGGTTTAAACTATTTTATGTTTTGAAATTGAGTTTAGGGAAAGTCGTACTATTAAGAGGGATTTTAGGACAGTTGGTCAACTGTTGAACCAGATACTCAAATTCACAGATTTACATCCTCTCACCTAGTCAAAACAGCCAGCCAAATTTCACCTCAACTTACCTGTTTTGGCTAGGGCGGTAGTGCCACCCTGTTAAGAGCGACAGTGCCGCCCTTAACTGACCGTTGGACCCAAGGGGTATTTATACCCTTCAGGCCCAGCCCACAACGGTCATCTTCTTCACTGAGTCATTCTGCTCGAAACAAAACAGAACCAAAGCTCACTTCTCTCCTCCATTGTTGCCCCACCATCCCTCAAGCAAATCCTTGATTCCAACCATCAAAACTTGAGAGAAATGGCAGCAAAACTTGATTGGAGAGCAGATTCACTGATTCCCAAAGTCTAAGAGCATTTGGTTCACGTTTGACCGGCGGTTCTAGGGTTTATTACTCTTGGAGCTTGCTCCTAGTCGGCTAGGCGTCACCCTTGTACTTGCCAACTCGTGTGATAGCCTTGGGAGGTTTGTAACCTCATTCTCGAAACTAAGAAATCACCTCTCACTTCAAGAGTTCATCCTCTTGACTTGAGAACGAGGGTAAGGCAAGCCTTTGTGGCAAGCCCAAGCCTTTTGTGGCTTCCTCAACAACGTGGACTTAGACAAACCTTTGTGGTGAGCCGAACCACGGGATAAATCTTATGTCTCGCGTGCTTCATCTTATTTACTTGCTGGTTTAGCTCATTGCTAGCTGTTGTTAGGGTTTGGTTGCTCGATCCACTCTTGTGTGGAGTTTCTGTGGTATTCAGTCTTCGAACTGGATCTTGTCTTTCTATTGCAGGATTAAGCAACTAGTGGGGTCAGGTTCATCTCTGTAAAATCTCAGCTGTGTTAGATTTATTTTCGTAGAGCGGCAGTGCCGCCCTGAAAGGCCGGTAGTGCCGCCCTCTGTTCTAACAGAGTTTTGAGTTGAATTTTTACAGGCCTATTCACCCCTCTCTAGGCCTCCTTTATCTTCCTGTAGATCCTACAAATCTGATGGTATATTCCCCTAGAGGATGATCCCATCCAACTATCCAAAACCAAACACATAAAAAAAAGGAGGATGGACCTAGCGTGTCCTCCTTCGTCCCGAAACCAAATACATGTTTATGGACCTACGTATGTAACTTTTGGGGTACGGCAAGTTTCATAAAGTGCTATAACTACTTTTGAAATCTCGGTTTTATCATTTACCATTTTTTCGGCATAGTTATTATTCTATCTAGACTTAAAGAAATTGTGAAATGCATATTGATGAGATTCATATCACATAAATTTAAACAAGCATTCAAATATTCAAATATTTCAAAAGGAGCTCCAATAGTCCAACATGAATTCTAATTTGGTACCCTAAATTTGAGGGGGTTAATGCAACAAATATGAAGATAACAAACAGCTGATTTTGCGATGGATATTGTAGAGACTCCATTTAGATATTGCAATCTTGATCCCCAAATACAGGATTCCAGATAAGTTTGAAATAAATCTCCAAAAACACTGGACATTATTCCTGAAGAAGTCCTGCGGCACGCTTGGCCGCTCGATCCTTTTGGTACAGGTCGACCAGGTGTTTTGCTGTGCGACAATTGCGAGACCAATGGCATGTACATCCACACCTGTAGCAAATCTGTTTCTGCTCCTTCTCCCTCTCCTCTTTTGCCTTCTGATAGAGGGCCACGAGGTGTTTTGCTGTGCGACAATTTTCGGCCAGATGGCCCTTGCATCCGCACTTGTCGCAAAATAGGGGTCGCTTTGCTTTGTAGCTGTCCTTGTTTCGGTTGTTGTCGTCTCCCCATAGACCTCTAGCAGCTGCGATTCCGCCGCCTCTCCCCTCGCCGGGCCTGCTCCACGACCTCTGAGTATCAGCGTCCTGTGCTTCAGGCACAGGTCGAGAGCCCGTCGGACGGCCGCCATGATGTTTGGAAGACCATTCCTGCTGTTTTTTCGGTGAAGAAATCGGCTCACGTTTGGGCATGTGCTGCTGCTGGAGCACCTGCTTGCCGGCATTCGGGGGAGCACTGGTCTCCGAAGGGCCAGTGTGTTCCCGTCTGCTTGCCGGCACAGGGGTAGTGGCGCTTAGGTCACGCGCGCTGTCCGTCTGCGTGCCGGCGCCGGCGCTCACGCGGGACGACTGAGCAAGACCGTTGCCTCCACGTGGAGGAACTGGACTACCGTCACTGGCGTCCTGCTGGGAGCCAGCTGCCGGTGGTGCACGTCGAGTGGCGTGCGATGCCGGGGCGTCGCGCGTGGCAGCGGGCACGCCGGCGCTCTTCGGGGCCGGGGCGTCGCGCGTGGCAGCGGGCACGCCAGCGCTCTTCGGGGACGGGACGCTAGCCTGCACAAGGTTTGGGGTGTCGCGCGTCATGGTGGGTGAGCTTTTGCACACGGTGGCTCCCGCAGCAGCGGCTACCTGCGGCATCGCGGTGGCCGCGCTAGCGACGGCCTGTGCATGGCCATTGCTGCAGCCTAGAGGAAGTGGACTTACCTTGTCGGCCTCCTCAGACTTGATGGTGACTTGTGTTTGATATGCCTTCTTGGCTAATATTGACGCATCCTCTTTGAGCACCTGCGGCATCTCCTTCGGTTGCACTATCTCCATGGGCACCTCGACCTCATAGTTGGGAGGCACCGCCTGGCTAGTGGCGTTGGAGGCGTGGGGCATCGTGGCAGGGGGCTCGTGCCGAATTCTGCTGGAGTTGCTGGGCTCTGTATCCACCTGCGCTGTGGCCATGACGGCCGTGATCGGGAGGCCACTGCCGCTGCCGGGGCTAGCGCGACGCGGGCTCGCCTTGGCCTCACCACCATCGTGAGAGGGGATGTTCTTGGTGGTGACCACCGAGTCGTGTGACTCGTGTCGTCGTTCAACCTCACGCACGGCGTGTTGCGTCTGCACCTTCTTTCTGGCAGCCTCCACCTCCAGACTGGACACCTTCCGCTTCTTGCCCCTCTCCAGATCCCTGCCGGTGACAGCCGCCGCGGACGCTGCAGCGCCAGAGGCCGGGACGGGGCGGGGCGGACGACTTCGTTGCAGGCTAGTGGAGTTCGGGACGCCAGCAGCCCGCACACGGTTCGTGGCGTCGCGCGCCGTGGCAGGTCCAGGGAGCTCCGGCTGCAGGACGGCGACCTTGCTCATGGGATCCACCTGCACTGTGGCGTCCGTGCTCGTGCTCGCCTCCGCCGCGAGGCCATTGTCGTCGTCGCCATGAGGAACTGGCATCAACTCCTTGCCGTTGCTGTCGTGCAACGGAGACGCCTTCTTCTTCACCGCTGCATCCTCCTGGATCTTTAGCGACTGCATCTCTGCTTGGCCCTCCTCCTGCGTATGCGTCGTACGCTTCGCCATGTGGACTTCCTCCGCCTCCTGGATAGACGCCATCCTTTTCCTTCCCTCCTCGACGTGGACACCGGTGGCAGCCGGCGCGGAGACTGCGGCGGCGGAAGCTGGTGGCGCAGGAGGTTGAGGTTGGACGGGTTTGGACTTCACGAGGGCCCGAAGCTCGTGGACGTCGCCGTCTGTGGCCGGAAGCGCCAAGACGGCGGGAAGAACAGGGGCAGGGGCAGGCCGTGGTTTTTCAAGGACCCGCACCTGGCCGACGTCCGCCGCCGCTGGTGACGGGCAGCAGGGACATTGCGGCCGGAGCGGGGGCAAGTGCTGGGGACTTTTCGAGTTCCCAGAGCTGGCGGTGTCGGAGGGTAACGGAGTACTGGAGGGAGGAGATGTACGTGTCGAGATCCTCCCAGCGGAAGGGGAGCGGCGTCGGGGAGCAGGCGGCCAGGCGGTCGAAGGTCTCCCGCAGGCGCCGCTTCTTGGCCGGGAGCGCGGCGGCGACCGCCTCCAGCTCCCACATCTCCATGACCGCCGGAGGGCGGTAGAGATCTGGAAGCGACAGGAGAGCGTGAGGGTATAGGGGCAGTGGAGCGGCGGCGGCGGCGGCGTCGTTTCGCGAGTCCATTGCGGACTCCATGATTCCATCCGTTTCAAAACGTGTGGGAAGAAACCGAAAGATGCCAGCGTTTTATAGATCGCGGACGAGAAGAGTCCGAGCGGGCCGAGAACAGAGTTGGGCCGTGATTTCCTTGATTTCCCGTTGGAATCCTTTCAGATTCTCGCTGGAGTCTGGAGGATTGTTTTGACCTTTCAAGGTGATTCTGATGGCCGCCACGGTCGAGTGGAATTGCCAAGTTACTTCTCCACCTTCTCGTTTGCAATGGTTGGTGTTCTTTGAACCCCCCATGCGGGTCAGTTGCTTGCCAGCTGGGGTTCACCGGTCGGTGTCTGATCCCGGTGAAATCGAGGTTTGGCCTGAGCGTTCAGTAGATAAATTGCATGTGTTTTGGTGTGCTACTGATGGCCTTCTTAAAAGTTGACTCTTCGTCAATTCGGGATCCAGCCATGAGCTTCATCCTGGATCTTCTTCATTGCGGGAGGTGAGGAAGATCTGACTTGCGGCAACAACAGTCGGCGACGACAACGATCTCTGGGTGCTCCTTCAGTGGATTCATTTATAATTTTTCTTTCTTTCAGGGATGCCCTGTCAGGGGGCTGGATGTAAAACTTTTGTTTTAATCAAATCCAACCCTTTTTTCTCAAAAAAAAAGAGAATCCTTTCGGATTCTAGTAGCGGCGAGAGCATGTCGCATGGTTTATTTGTTAGTTAAAATAATAATATTGAAGCATTAAAAGATACAAATAAGATTGAAAGTAAAAATAAATAGGACCCTCTAATGCAAGATTTTTTTTCCTCGCTCTTGTGTTCTTTCTATAAAAATGAACAGATTGATTACATACATAAATTCATAGAAATCGGTTTAATTTCACACAAACAAACACAACAATAGAGAAATTTTTTGCATTTCAAATAGAGTCTACTACCTCCGTCCTAGAAAGAATGTCATTCCTCGAATAAATCAAATTTTCTTAAGTTCGATTATATTTATAGAAAAATATTATCAATATTTGCATTTCTAAATATATGAATTATAAAAATATATTTCATAATCCATCTAACGATACTTATTACACGTCATAATAAATACTAAAATTTTTCTAAATATTTGATCAAACTTGAGACCCGTAGACTCTTCGGAAAGCGAAAATAACATTTTTTGGGGACCCAGAGTCTCTTATCAAATTCCTGCTTTCCAATTTCCAAGGTCCCTAAAACGTCAAAAGAAGACGTATAGCTTTATAAGGGAATATTGCGATATTCCTGAGCTCCAAATCCTGGCGACGGTTGCATTGTATGACTACAATTTATTACTGAATTAGTGACCACAATTCATTACTGAATTTAAATATTATTACTGACTACAATTCATTACTGAATTTAAATACTATTAGTATAACTTTGAAGAGTTTGGCTCTATTCACCTGGCTGAAAAAATGGCTGACGCTGACGCTGATTTTGTTATTTTACTGAAACGGTACGCCTGATAAGTTCAAGCGAACAGAACCTTTGTTGTGTGTCATATATTCAAAATAACAACAGATTGTCGATGTTATGGAAATTAATTCATCAAGTTTAAGATAAAAAAATATGGCTCCGTTCGCTGGTCTGAAACTTGGCTGAAAAACACTGTTCCCGCTGATTTGTTGTGAGAGAAAAACACTGTTTGTCTGGTTTGATAAACAATACATTGAGAGGGGATCAGACGACTGGTTGGACTGATAAGACTAGCGAACGGCCCTATATGTTTTCTTATTTATAACTCGTTTCTGGATGTTTTGATGGCACGCTTTTTCATTCACGGCGGTAGAATGCATCTAACCTGGTCCTAAGCAAAACGAAAGCTTCGCTCTTTTAAAAGTGTGTGTATATATGTGTGGTAGTGATTGGTTGGCAAATTGGTACTGGCGACTAGAACGGAAATGAGTTGCAGGGAATCGATGCTAGGATCACTTAACAGACTTTGTTTAGTTGGGATCACTACAGACCTTGGTTGGATCTCTTTGGCAGAGTTTGCTGTGGCTTCAACTTGCCTACTGAGGGGAAGAAGAGCTCAATGCTACGATATCAAACAAAACAATCGGTCTATTCGCTGGTTGGTTTCTGGGCTGGTTTGGATTAGCTGGTGCTGGTTTGTTGTGAGAGAAAAACACTGTTGACTGACTGATAAGCTCTGGCTGAAACCAACAAGCGAAAAACCAACAAGCGAAGCCGAATACTGCTATGGTAAATTTGCCCGGTGGAGCTGAAGGCGTGGAAACTCCACCAAGGGAGCCTTTTGTTCTCCTGTCTCCGTTTGGCATCGTGCGAGCAAGCGGCGCTCCGCAATCCGCGTACCCACGCCACCACGCGGTGGCAGCAGCAGGAGAGAGTCAAGCGGCCGGTGCAGCCCCGGCGTGAGCACTCCGGATGCAAAGCAGCTGGCCAGCTCTTAGCAGCCTGGGAACGGAAACATGACCCATGTTCTCGCTCCCATATTCCACGTTCAGGAACGTCTACGTCCAGGAACAGAAACGTTCCCGTTCACACGCTATAAAATGATCCTGTTCCGGGAACCGAAACATGCCTGCTAAGGGCCAGCTGGCTCGGCGGCCATGCGCTCGCGTCTCGTGACTCGTGAGCATACAGGAGAATCACGCGAAAATGGAGTTCGGGCGTAATCAGATAACGCCCACAAGTGAGCAGTATCGTGTAGTGAATACGCTGTTTTAACCACTACGGGGGAAAACGATAAAAAAATGCACCTAAATGGCTAAATATGAGGTTAATAAAAAAGCTCATAGAAAAATCAAATTCGTGTAAATTGCACAGCTTTGTGCATTGACACCTCTACAAGAGGTCTGCGTAACCCATTTCCAATAAAATTAAAGCGATCAACAATAATGATAGGATAGATTTAGATGCAAAACACACTTAATTCTCAGCATTCAGACACAAAAGAGAACTACATCCAATATCGATGTTCAGCACAACATAGGCAGGTTCACATAAGACACTGTAATACCCCAGACACTTGAAATTCATGTTCCACAAAGCAAAATAATAAGATAGACTAAAACAAAACGTCTGGATCCGCATTCCCACTGTGGATTCCACTTAAGCAACGGCGTCGAGGAAAGCTTTCCCAGGAGCACGCTTCTCAAGTCTGCCGTGGTTACCGAGCAGCTGTAAAAGGTCAGGACAAGGTGAAATTAGATTATGCACTGGCTAGTATACTGCCCTCAGAGGTGAGGGGGCAAACGTTAGAAGAATGCTCAGAGATGTAAAAACTGTGATTAACTATAGATGACTACATTGATCAAACATTAGAAGCATGCTCAGAGATGTAAAAACTCTGGTTAAGCATAGATGGCTATGTCGAGCAAACATTAGAAGAATGCTCAGAGATGTTAAAAACTGTGATTTAAGCATAGATGACTATGCCGTCCTAAATAAGCTTGCTTCCAGAAATGAGGCCAAGGAAAAGCATAATTACATTTCGAAACATGCATTATTTAAGGAAATTATATCTACTGTACCGAAACAAATGCAGAGACATATCGACATGAAATGCGGCAAGAAAAGTTATAACTGTACCTTTGCGTTGACACCATCAGGAACAATTCTACCCTCACTCTTGTACTTCAGGTAGTCAGCACGGCTGAACTTGGTGAAGCCCCTGAACAGGATAATTCAAGTTAAAACAATAATACAAAATAATCTAAGCAAGGTATTAGATTATGACAGTTTGGTTCCACAGCATCAATGAAGTTATTATGCACTCACCACTTTCTGCTCTCAATGATCTTTTGGCGGCCAGGGAACTTGAACTTGGCGCGACGCAGAGCTTCACTAGCATGGGCAGCATTGTTGTCCTTGCAGCGCACAGAAAGGAGGACCTGACCAATGTCCACCCTAGCACAGGTACCCTGAGGCTTGCCAAAGGCACCCCTCATTCCAGTCTGGAGCCTATCAGCCCCGGCACACGAAAGCATCTTGTTAATACGAAGGACATGGAATGGGTGAACCCGGACCCTAAGGTGGAAGGCATCCTTTCCTGCAGACTTGGTCATGTACTTGTTGCAGGCTATACGGGCAGCCTCAAGAGCCTCACTTGAAACATTCTCCTTCTCCCAAGAGACAAGGTGCACACAGTAGGGGAACTCATCCACACCCTTCCTCTTCATCCCAACATCGTAGATCCTGATCTTGGGGTCAGGGACACCACGGCAGTACCTGGACTTGGGGTATGGCTTGTTCTTGATCTGGCGATAGCATCTCGCAGGCCCTAACCAAAGTTTCAGACACATAAAAGCTCGTTATTATCAATGGACATAATAATAATGCACTACAGTAATAAAAATATTCAGTGCAAACAAAAACATAAACCATCTAGATGCAAAACAGAACATTAATTTCCACAGAATATACAACGGTGCATGCATGAGGCACGCAGAATGAGCATATGCAGTGTAATCAGATTGGTCCTATAGTATTTTTTCATAGCATAAATGTATTCGTTAAAAATCCATGGAACATAACTAATAACCCCATTTTGACAGGTAAAGCAACTGTATAAGGTCAACAAGCATAAACTCGAACCAAAACACGATTTTCCAATCCAATTATGAAAAGCAAATCAATTGATGCCATGTTCTACCAGTAGTCAGACAGGTCCTAAACTATGAGCATGTTACCTCGGAACAAATCACCCACCCAGAACACAGGAAATCTGGATCAATATATTAGTAGCAAGGCCCCAGCGCTTCTCATCTTTATCCGATATACAAGGCAACCACAACTTTGCGAGTTTCACAAATCGACTCAGCAAACAAACAATACTAAGCCCGTGCACCACGGATTCATCAAAAGTATCAACCCGATTTCGTGTGGATCTAGTCTAGTCGAGATTTGCACCAGACGAAAAGGGAGAGCCCTATTCGGACAAGCGGTTGCAACAAACATCGCAGTAGAAGCGTACGAAGGAGCTGAATCGAAAACGCGAACTTACTTCTGCCCATGGCGAC